CCCCCCACCACTCCAGCAACCCTCAGTTTGTTTCCTGAGATGAAGCATTGATTTCTAATTTAATTTCATTTTGGTCAATGAACAAACTTTGTATGATTTTAATCCTTATGAATTCATTGATCCTTAGATTCTCCCTGCAAAAAAAGCATTTGGCATAATTCAGAGTCCACTCATTTCAAAACGCCCAATAAAATAAGAATATATGGATACCATCTTGATTATACATATGTGTGTATATGTTCCCTTGGAGGAAAAGGGAGGCATGAAAGGATCCTGTTTTATTAAAATACAATGCTATTGTTTTAATTTAAAAACTATATACATGTATTCTTCTGATAATTTTAAACATAAATTTAAAATAAAATATCACTCTCTAAAGTATCAGGAATGAATGCATTAGATAATGCAGAAGGTAATGAAAGCTCAGTGTGAAAAAGAATAGCAGCTTGCACTGGAGTGGAAACAGCGAAGGTTTCTTTTTTTAAAGCATGCAATTTTACAGTAGTGATCTCTTACCTGTTAGAACATGTAAAAGACTGAGCTACCCGGTATTCAGGCAAAAGCAGGCTTTAAGTTTGGCTCCATTTCATGCTTCTTTGCTTCTCAAGCATCTAAAACCACATCTCAGATCGCATCATGTTTTGGAATCATGGAAGGAATGATCAGGGAAATAAGAGCTGGCCAGGCAGCCACCCTCTAGGAAGGAATGCTGGCCTTTCCCAGTCCAAATCTGTGCAAGATGAGAGGAGGAAGGGAAAGCCACAGCTTGCCTTGAACTTCTAAAGTGCAGAGTCTCCACCTGCTGGTATTCGCAACTCAATTAATATGCTTATAGTTATCACTCTTATAGGATGGTCAAGAGGGATCTTGAACTTCCAGTAGAATGGATGTGTTTTAGCATAATTTTACATTAGAAGAAAAACAAGATATATACCCCCAAATTTTTGAAATGTAATTTAGGTCTTTGAGGGTGTGTCAATGAGAGTTTTGAATCATGCCACAGAGGGCAAGTTTTAAAATAACACCCTTGTTAGCAATCCCTTTCTTTCTACCCATTCCTCGTAGTTTCTGCTCAGATTTTCTTCTTCCTCCCTTGTCTCTCTTCTTCCATCTCCCTATCCCAAACCAACTCTCTTACACTGCCTTTCCTGCAACACCCAGCTTCCTGCATTCATTTTTTTTCTTGTTTTCTGCCTTCTGATATTTCAGATAAGAAGTCTGTTTCCTGCCTAGTTCCTATCCTTTTATGTATAAACTATTTGTTAGTTAGCTTATTTATTTCCTTTCTAAAAGCTATGAGATCAATTTTTAATTATCATTGTTTTTCTTTTGCTTCTGATCTTGTAATCAAACAATTTCATTGCTGCATATGTAACTATTTGTATATTTTCATTGTTCCTGCTTGATGCCTTTAAGTTACACGAATCTTACCCATCCAAAGACTAAAGTCCTCCTTTAACTCAGGAAAGGGTCTTCTATTATTTCTTTAATTGTATTCTCTTCTACATCTATTGTGCAGCAATTGGAGGTTGCTGTATAGAACTTCCTCAATATATTTTCTCAATTTTGTGTGACTCAAGGTAGCTGAGACCATTACCTGAGCAGTCTACCTGATAACTGCTTAGTGCTTCTACACCTGCCTTTAAGAATGCTCCCTCACAGTGAGTACTGGGTATTATATAAGACAGATGAATAACAGACTTGTACCTCTGAAAC